AACTGGTGAAACACAAACATATGTCTGTGTTCTTAAAGTTCCCGTGAAAACTAGAAAAAAAAGAGTGAGAGCATCTGCTCCAAAAATGCTTTATCTCACTGAAATCCCACATATTTTCAGAGTTATCCCGCCAGCATTTGCTGTCTGGTGTGTTATTTGCTTACAGTTGTATTTTTAACTGTTTTACYATTAGTCTCTAAGCTGTATTTATACCATTTTACATAAAAAATTCACTATATTCATACAGAAAAAGATATGTAGAGAGAACAAGGTATTAAATATCCATGGACTACAGACATTTGTAGGTGAGGCTCATACCTGTTGATTTATTTGCTTTGTGAAGAGCTCTCAGMGACACCAGGACCTTATTTTGCTGTGGACTGAAGTCACTAATGAATGGGATGACATCCCGTTCAGTAAGCATCCTCGGGGGCAGGAAAGCCTGGAAGTTGTTTGTGGTCGGTAAATCTGTACAGAAGTGTGTGGCAGCAATGAAATCTACACCATTAGCCCAGTCATCGCCAAAAGTTGCTTCTGGACCAGAGAGATRTTTTAAGCTGAAAGAGAAGAAAATAAAATATGTGGCAGGTAATTGAACTCTCCTGTAGAAYGCTCTCATTGATCTTTTATCCCAAGTGCTTTTGTTCAGTATAAAATCCTGAGTAGTCTCAGTGCTGCAGTGACTTAAAGCCTCCTTCAGCCCTTTACACCTCATTTCTCCTGGCAATGCTGCTTCTGCCCAGACTGAACAAAGCTCCTGAATCAGGGTCTGGCTCTCAGAAGGGAACCAGCACCTCATTTTAATCCCGGAGCCTGCTTGCCCATCACAATCTCTCACTGGTCACCCCACATTCCGAGAGAGCTCATGAGCAGAAACCATAGATCAGATGCCAAAAGCACGAAAGTTCACACAGACATTGTAAAGATACTACCCTTCCAAAGAGGTGACGACATGGGAAGATCCTCCTGGGCCACCTCTCGCATCCCCTTACCTGTCCTGGAATTTGGGGAGTGCATAAGCAATGGAGGTGGTGTGTGCCTTCCACATGAATGCGAGGGCGTCATCCAGTTTGAAGGAGGAGAAGGTTGCAGAGCTCACAGAGTTGTGTTCTGTAGATAACAGATACTGCAGCAACACGGAGCAAAADAGGCAGAGAATCAGAGGGGAGGTTTAAACACAAAAATATTTTTTTTATTTAAGTGCATACCTTACAAAATAATACATTTGCTAGCCAAAGGAAATTACTTCTCAATTGTTAACAGTAGTTGCTGTTCTTTGGCTTCAATATAGCAAGGGTTTTATCCACATAATTTCAGTGTTTTGTACAATAATTCAATGGACTTTTGTATCTGAGTGCCATGGAAGGCTCTGCACTGGAATATTGGATTCCTAGCAAAYTTGTCTATACTCCTTTGGCCACAACTTTCTGAAGATTTTCAGAAAACAAAGGAAATTATCCTTAATCTTATCATTATGATTATTTGAGACATGCTGCATAGGAAAAATGATCCTATAAAGACAAATTCAGTCCTGCTTTTAAACYCTTACAGTTAAAGCTTTCTGATCATTATCAATAATTTGAATTCCAATATAAATGTTGGCCACAGTAGTCCAGCTATAAAATAGGTTTATTAAATCTATGAAGTAAGAAAAATTGTCATCTTTGKGATTAGAGAAAAGCTGAGTGAGGAKGGAAGAGAATATCTACYTGCATAAATATGTRTCCTTCTGAATGGTGTTTCAGCATTTTCAAGTTTTTAGATGTTTAAAGGAATAAAAGAATCCTATAAAACCAACCCAAGACCACTTCTCAAGGGCAGCATTCTGTCTCACAGGCTTATTTTGCATTGCTAACATAAGCAGTATTGGAAGAATACCAATAAAATCATTAACAAAGCAATGTCTTGAGACAGAGGCCAAAATACATAACTATCTCAAAGGAAGAAAAAAAATCCATAACTTGCAAAAATCCTGTCCTACTTATCTCTGACTCATTTTATATTATGCTTTTCATTTTTCCTGCTTGTTGCTTTTTTTTACATGTAGCTGTAATTGAAAACGAACTAAGCTCTCTGAATCTTAAAAATGAAAGTAATAATAGTTTTTAAAGCTAATATTTTGGTATCATTTCTGAAAGTATTTTTTAAAAAAATTATTTACTTCAAAAAAGGCCTTCCAGTCATCCATGAGCTTGGGCATSCGGGACCAGCAGTCTTTAACACTGTAACAGAAATCATCCTTTTGCTCCTCTGGTGGCAATATTTCTATCTCATAGGGCAGCTGCCCAAAGATGCCAGCCTCCAYTGCCCCCAGAAAGGGTATGATAGACAGGTAGTAATTCATACCTGTAATAATAATTCAAAGGCAGGAGATGTTAATCACAAGCAAATTAAAAATTCCCACATATCAAAATTAACTCCCTCCCACACCAAATGGAACAGCTTCAAATTGCCACTGACACAACTGCGTTCAGCAGCAGAATATGAAATGGTGATGACACTAGTATGGATTTAGATATGACTTGTAGTGTTCATTTCTATTTTGTCCTTTAAGAACCTTCCATGAGCTTACTGTGAGCTTTACTTTGCAGGAAAGGAAAAAAAMATAATGGAAAAAAGTTCGATCTTTGTAGGATGTCATGGACAGGACAAGAAAAGTCTCTCAAATATTAATTGCAAACTARGTATAGAAAGACTAACGGGTATTCCAAAAGTATTGTTTTCATTGAAAATCCTTCTTCTATGCATCCTAGACCTATGAGAAAGGAAAAGGCACACTGTGTCCTGTATGTGGACCTGGCTGGGAATTCAGGAGGAAATGTATGGTCAATCAGAAGAGTGAAGGAAAGCTCTGACGAGAAGGCAGTGTCTCACTGGGACTCATTGCTAAACTGGGACTCATTGCTAACCTGGGTCTTGCTTCTTGTTCACTGTTCTCCTGACAAGTGTTGAAACCTTGATCTCACATCACAAAGTGTTATATTCTTTCAAGTGTTCTTGCCTATGTTATATATTTGCACTTGCTTGGGTGACTTGGAAGACAGAAAACATTGCAGGAGAGGACTAAACTGAATATTATTCTAGGCCAAAAAGATGGATATTTTTAAGCAGAGAATGTCCCTTCATCCTGGGGTGCACTAAATGTGAGTTTCTGGTTTAACCTCATTCCTGGTTTCATGTGACTACTTGTGCCAGAGGGCTTCTCTGAAAGCAGCTGAAAGCATCCATATGAACACTCCTCAGAACACTAAGGGACATTTCCATGCAGCCTCAGAGACTTTTTGTATGTTCTTGCCACAATGGGGCAAATCAAGGCTGAGTTTATGCATTTTCTGGAGACCACGAAATCGATATCAAGCAAACATGCAATATTGGGAGTAAGTGAAGAGCATCAATGCACTGAGAAAGTAAAAGTGGTGGTTTCTATTCCAAGAAGATCCCCTGCTTGCACAGGGCTATGCAGTGGCACTCGTTACTTGTCACTGCATGGGACACCTTCCCACTGAGCACCCACTGAGATGGAAAACCGGAGTTGGACTATCATGGTCAGCTTTGTGTTTACCCTGGATTTATAATTTAAATTTTCTCTATGCTCATGCCTTTGTTCACTTGAAGATAAATACATTTAATTGCTGAATCACAGCCAGAAGCTTCATCCAAATGGCCACTGCAGGAACAGAGTCCCTGTGGCAGGGAAGAGACAGAGCTGCTCGCTGAAACCTGCAGGCAGGTCTGGGAGAAAAGGGAACTAAAACAGGACAGCAGGGAAGCTGAGGGAGCAAGTGGTGGAGGGAAAATAYGCTACAGGAAAAAGAACCAAGGGTGATGCAAGAACCACAAAGATCCCTGCTTGACATTCTCTCACCAAGTTTTAGTTTCAAGTGTGAGCATCTAAACTGAACAAATCTGCTCTGGACTAATGGAAAACTGCAAATGTCTACAAATATCTACAAATACAGATACCTATACAGAGACAGATATGGTGTTTCCCACACATTTTTAAATAAATGTTTGCATTGGAAACATTTTTAAATCCGCAAACTTGCTTTTTTTTTTTTTTTTTTTTTTTTTTTATTTTTGCTTCCTTAAATAAGTATTCTAAAAATATTAACCTTCATTTGCACACTCACACTTAAATGTCTTGCTGCAAATTTGTGATGGAGAATTACATAGTGCTGAAATTTTATTGTAGTAGAAAAGGTGAAGAAATATTTTGAAATGGCATTCTAGGACACTGATTCATTTTTGAGAAGAAGAGTGAAATTGGATATACTTACAGGACCACCAGCTTCTCACAGATTGGCACAGGTATTCTCCATTTTCATAGCCACAGGAAGTCACACCAGAAGGATCYGCTAACCTGCCTGAATGAATCAAATTAAATGATACAACAAATACTTCTCCAACTTTTCACACAAGAAATCCTACTGAGATGAAAAAGATATGCAGGAGTAAAGCATGCAGAATTTTGGTCAGGGAAGCAAAACAATTACTGTTGCTTTGCTTCATAAACTGCTGTTCCTAGAGYAGCTGAGTTTCTCAGTGCCTAGTAAATTGATCGTGTTTTGCAGTTTGAGTTATCCCCCACTGTAAATGTATTACATGAATTTAGGGAACTGTTTGAAAACAGGATATCACAGTATTTTTACAGAGATAAACACATGCAGAGCTGAGGCATCATTTCTAATAGATGTAGGGCTGCTAGTTCAGGAGAGCTGCTTAATGAGCAGCATAGCACCAATTTGATATGCTAGTAATTGTCTCACCTAATTGGGTTGTGTGATACAGAATCACTTCCAGTTTAATTATGCAGACAAACGTGGCCTTGCTGTGAWGCTAAGCATGCAAACGTTGTTGCAGCTAATTAGCAAGGTTTGCARGTAGCTCTGCTATAGGAAACATGCAAGAGATTTCACAATTATTCGTGACCGAATATTTTGCTTTAAGCACTGGCGTGAAGAAACAGCCTAAGTCCTAAAAGAATACCATGCATGTACATTAAGTGTTGTCATGCAGARTGTCAGGAAGTCTGCTTGAAGTGCGTGACATGCAATTACCATGGCCCTGTCCAATGAATTGAGCTATTCCAGAAGCTCTCAAGCTCTGCCCTGCAGAGCACTGGCTCTCTGACGAGTCAGCTGAATAATGRCAGTGTCATTTCTGTCAGATTAGAACTAAACCTCATTACCAAACCACATTTTCTGATACTTTTTACTCAAGAAGAGAGATGATCATGAACAATGTGCATACAAATTATCCTAATTATCCTCCCTAGCTGACTGGGCAGAGCTTGTGCTTTGGGGCATGTTAGCTACTCAAACCTGTATCTTTCAGTAGCCAAGCACTGAGATGAGGACTGCAGTTCAACCTTTTTTTTAATGAAGATTATATTTTTTTTAATATTTAAAGAAAGATTCCAGTTTTCAAGTCTTTACTTCAACAGAGACTGTCAAAAATAGGCAGCAGTAGATCACTGGTGTGCAAAGGGGATGAAAGGAAAGGAAAAAGGCTAAGAAGAAAAATAAGACAAATGTTGCAAAAGAATTGTACACAAGGTTTACTAAATATTGTTAACCTTGGTGTTTTGGGAAAATGAAGAGTTAACAGTGATAATTATAAGATGTGTAGAAATTACTTGAGCTGGAAGCATTAACTGGACTTAGAGGACTCCACACCATTCTTGTTGTCTCTGCTTCCTCCTACTCCCTTAACACGATTGTTATTTCAGTCTTTGGGTCTACCCAAGCTAACCTGTACTGCCAGTACCTCCCAGCTGTGACATTCAATACCAACTTTCTTAAAGTTCTTGCTCCTGGATTTGTACTTTGTGTGTGAGGTAGGGGTAGAAACTACTCTGTTTTCTCAGATTGTGGACTGGGTAGGACTGTCAGTTTAGTTTCAACTCAGAAGTGAAAATTTTTGCTTCCACAATCTCATTCCTAACAGCCATGCTGTCTCAACAACCTTGTCTCTGCTGTAAATTTGGTCAAATTACTAATCCTTGARTGGATTATTGCTAATCTTTGTGCCACTGTTATTAAGAAACAGCTTTACTTGCTCTTAATGGTTTATACAGAACCATATCCATAAAATGTTTTCTTAATAAAATAATCTTCAAGACCAGACAGAACTGTTTATTGAGAACAAATAATTTTTGTCTTGTACCATGAACTTAAATCCTACTTTTGTTTGCTCAAACATATTATGTCAATATACAAATGCTTCAGTAATTCCTCACTAATTTATCCCACTGCCTATCTGGATTTGGTTTAGCCCTTTGCTAACCTCAGTACTGTATGTACCAGAATTATGTAGCTCTTTATCCATTTACCCTTCAACTTCTCACTTTTTTTTTTTTTTTTTTTTTTTTTTTTTTTTTTTTTTTTTTTTTTTTTTTTTTTTTTTTTTTTTTTTTTTTTTTTTTTTTTTTTTACTGTAAAACTGCTTCCAGCAATGTGATATTTCTCCTTTTAGTATTTTTTTAACCTTCTGTTCATGTAAATTCAAAAATGTATCTCCTTGGCTAGGTACCAGTCCTATGACTCTTTAGAAGGTGACAGTACATCTTTACCTGTCTGTATAACCAGGTCCAAATTTTCCTCTCACATTCTATGTTCCTGCTCCTACTATGACTCTGCTTGAAAACTGTCACTGCAACAAGGCACATCCTCACTTTGTGGATGAGACCATACTCCATAACCAGATCCTTCCAGCTGTACCAGCCATCCTCTTCATCTTCTCTTCTTTTTCTATGCATTAGGAAAGAGAAACAAGCTTGCCTATACTCCAACCAAATTCTTCTTGTTGCTGTTTGCCTGCTAGTTTCCTGCTTGGATTTTGCTTACTGTCTCATTTTCCTCATTTTGACTTAGGAATAAATTTTCCATTAGGTGTGGCTAAATGCTGGCAGYCTTCCTACCCCACCAGCTGCAGGACCTCTGTCTTTTTTTAAACGTACAGCTCAGCCAAACCACCACCACCTGTAACTAGAGAGTACACCCAATAAAGAAAACAAAGGCAGGTGGATGCATTTGCTTACACCTTCTTAATACCAGGCACGAGTTCCTGAAAACATCATTGACTCTCATTTCCTTCTTCCCCCCTTTTCTGGTTGCTAAAACAAGGCAAGTCAACTGTGGCTCTGAACTGAAAGCTCCACAGAGTGCTGTGTGTGGAGCAGTCTGCGAGAGAACGCGTTCTCTGATAAAAGCCCCCGATAAGATATTTCAGCCTCAGCCTTAACGGACCTCTCACCTCACCTGTGTTTCTGTGTCTGCTTCCCTGGCAAGCAAACCAGAATGACTGGACTAGACAACAAGCAGCTTTGTGGGGATAAACCCTTAGAATGTGGACACAATTTGAAACAAAACAAAGCCAAATAACCAAACAAACCCCACAAACAAGCAAACAAACCCCACAAACAAACAAACTTTCATTTTTGTAAAAAACATTGTTAGAAAATAAGGAGGCTGCTTCTAAACTGATCMCTAAGAATAAATGGAAATAARTTCTCAGAGGGAAACATGGACTTTYAAATATCTRTATTAGAAATTAAACCACCTATAGAAGACTGTAACATTAACAAAAATAAAAGCYGATTAGTTTACAATTTAAGAACAGYRCTGTAGAATGCACACCCTGAAATCTGTCTATATAAACTGAAGCAATTGGGAATGCCTTGTCAAAGATTTTCAGTTAGCTGAAGTAATGCTCATCTAGACCACACATCTAGATTCTGACCTCTTTCTATTAGCAATTTTAATAGCTATTGCTCAACAAGGCAAGGGTGTGCCCTTCATTCACCATTTCTTTTTCAAATTGGTAGCTCTGTCAAGGTTTACACCRTCTGAAGCTAAACCGAGCTTGTGAGGCAGAAACCTTGGAAAGGAAGCCTCTGAGCAGGTCTGGTAAACACTTTGCTAATCCAGTATCTTAAGGAAATAATCCATACCTGTACGAAATTGCCACCCATGTTGCAATGGCAATCCCCAGAGAATATTGCCACTGTTTTGGGGTCCAAAGGCACCAAAATATTTGGCTGAAGCATTCAGCAAACTCTTGTACACTCCCAGTCGCTCCCGATAGCTCCAAGCATTGATGACAATTTTGCCGTCCTTCACTGGGAAATCCTGGAGCTTTTCAACAGCCAGGTCCCACAGAGGGGGATAGTMATCTTCTCCAGTGACATCGTTTCCACTCCACACTGCGGCTGTCACAGGGCTCAGGGTTACAGYCACCACCAGAAGAGCGTGTATGCCAAAGCAGGGCCACATTGTGACTGTTTGTGACCCAGGTGATTGTGGCTGCAGGGCTTTTATCGGGAAAGGTGAGGGCTGGGCAAAGAGGGTGACTCAGACACAGAAGTCTTTGTCTCCCTTCCCTCTTCCCAGTCGTGGCCCTGACGTGGATGGCCAGATTAGCACCTGTGAGCAGTGGTCTGTCCCCTCTGTGGGATCTAGGGAGCAGCAGCAAATGCTTGAGAAGAATCAATAATCAAAAATAATGATTTATTTTACCCATGCAGCCCATGATGTATACACACACTTCCAAATGGTTGAGGTGCTACAATTGTGTAGCGAACAACTGGTGTACAGTTGCATGATCAAAATTTTTGTCTCCCTGTTTCTCACTTGCTGTCGGCTTCCCTTTCCCAACTCAGTTTCTCTGGGTAAGGAGGGGACAGCAATGTCACAGGTCTCACCTCAACACGTGCACAGTCAGGGTTAAGCAATGGCTCAGGTATTCTGAATAGGGCTTCTGACAAAAGGCACTGACAAAAAAGCAGCAATGACATACAGCTGTTTCTGCCACTGTCACCTTCCTCATTTGGGCTGAAACTGCCTGCAGCCTTCAGGTCAAAGAGTGTTGGAAGCAGCCAGATCAGCCTGTTCTCAGGCTCTACAGCACCTGGCTAGCTGTGCTTACAGTACTGGTTTGTCTTGTGTGKGAATGGTCATCATTATGAAACCCTAAGGTCTCCTGCTAAACCTCCACAATCCTGTAGATCAAAGGGAACACAAAGGCTCTGCCTCCAGTGACCAAATGGTTGTCCAAGTTACACTCCAGTAGAAGTGAAACTGCCCAGCTGCCTTCATCTCAGCTACTTCTAGGAATTTTAGGACTTTATAATCTTCAGCTGCCTTTTCTCAGATAAGCAATGGTTGCAAAAGAACGCCCAGCAAACAAACACGTGGTTTGTTATCTCTGTAGACTTTCATTTGCATGAGAAAATTTGCAAATGCTCCTTTTCTTTGAAGTACTTCTGTGAGTTTTGGTTGGGCTTAAACCGTGGGTGGGAGCAAGTCAAAACTGGCTGCAAATTTCTGATAGTAAATTCAAAAGAAATGTATCAGTTCAATTCAAAAATTTTCAGTTTACTCTATTTATTAAGGAGACTTTCTAGTAAAGRGCATCATTTTTCAATGATCACTTATTATTTTTTGGTCTACTACTGAAAGAAACCCCAAAGGATTTTGAAATACAGTGTTCAACAGAGATTAACACAGATCTGAGAACACTTCTCATCATGCTGCCTCAAAGAGGTTTCTAATAATAACAAAGTTGTTTTTTCATTTACTTCTATGGATGGGATTTACCTAACCCAATTGTGGGCATTTTGACACTAACATAATTATGTGGATTCCCTCAATAACCAAACCAGAGAATCAGGTATATCCAGAATGTAACATGTTTAAAGCACACCACTGAGAGTGTGTGTATTGTTCCTGACTGATTGCAGAGGGAGTAGAAATTACAAGTTTACCTTTAGACACAGAAAAACATATTTTTAGTTTAAATAAAATCAATGTTCTAATTTTTTTTTATTTTTATGAAATAATTCCTGCTCCTTATTTGGGAATAATAATTTCAGAAATGTTTTCAAAAGTACTATTTTTTTCTTGAAATAAGGCATTCTATTAAATAATCCTGAGGACAAATGCCAAGAACTGTGCTTATTTCATATATATATATATATATATATATATATTTCATATATATATATAATATTATATATATTAAGTTCTAATTGAGGCAATGGACAGTAAGGCTCACCTAAAAAGGAAGAATGATGAAAGGTATTAGTTAAGGCACAAGATATATGGAGGAATCCTGTGGCACTTTGAACTAAAGGACACAAAGTTCATAGTTGCACTAAGACAGAAATTTTATTTAGGAACATGAAAGAGTAAGTAGGAGTGGCTGGCGGGGTTTTTTTACCATCACTGAAAGGAGTGTCCAAATTCAGAATCTAAACTCCTTCTGCTTTTCTTTAGTCAAAGGGGAGAGTTGGAATTCTTCTAATGAGAATTAGTATTTATATTGACATTTTTATTGCCTGAGTGATTTCACTTGTGGTACCTATGGTAAAGAGAGGTGAATAAACATCTTCACTTATTTTTGCAGAGATACCATATATTTACATGCTCATCACAGATTACCTGGTAGTAAACTAATGATTCCATRTTTGTGTGGAACTTCATTGTGCATGAGAAACTGTCCTCCTGTTCTGCCACCTAGAAAGGAAAACCTTACTAACACTGGTCTGGGCAGGTATGAAAATACTAATTACTAGTCTAAATGCAAAAACATACTCTCTCAAAAGTCTTATAATACAGAATTGAGATAAATTAATGACATAATGCTTGCCTTACACCAATTTTTGACCTATTTGATAGAAAAAAAAATGTATTATATACTAAATGGTAAATATAAAAACAARAATACATCTAYTYAGACTGCTGAGTTCCTTCATTTTTWGAAGTTWCAGCCTCTTACCTTATTATGGTAATAAAAGGACTTCAATAATTGACTCTTTAAAGAGTCACCACTATATTTTTATTATTATAATAAAAAAATTCTTCCTGAAAAAAACGGTAATTAATTGTGTACCTCTCACTTCATTTTTGCACTGACGTGCATGTGCAAACAAGTTGCTGAAGTTTCTGTAAGAGTTTCAGGACAGCAGCTTTCCTTTTGAGAAATATTTGAGCTGGTGTTTCCAGTTTGGAACCGGTCCAGTTGGTTTTGCTGTCCTGAGGGGGGAGAGGGCAGGATTCACGAGATGTCAATTGGTTTGAGTGGTGTTGGGTGTTGGGTGTTGAGTCACAGCACGTCTTCAGGGATGACTGCATTTTAAGCAAGTGGAAGATAAAGGAAGGCTTTCATCAACATCCCTGTCCTATTCACCACTCTGTTAGCAAGTACCCCACCAGTTACTCAGCAAGGATGTGTTCCTACAGACACAGCAGCAGAATCACRTGCTGGAAAAGACTGTAGATTATGAAAGGTGGTGATTTCAGGTCTGATATGTTATTATTGTCAAGGTTCAAGAGAGAATGCTGTTATTTTCAGGTGGGCTGCATATTTTACTTCAAGATAACTGCAGAAAAGCTGATAAACATCAATTCAATTAGTTGAGGTGATTACAAGAAGAACTGGCAGACTTGAGCTCCCAAATGATTGAGAGGAAGAACAATGAGTTTTCATCATTTAGATGGGATATTGACATGAGCTCCCTATCACCTGGCACCTTTTTTCATGTCCTGAACACTTCCACCTGTAATTGTGAAGGCCCCTTGACTGTGATCATTTTCAGGGAAAAAAGGACTGCACCGTAGTTAAAAGTATTCTTCTCTGAATAAACTGAGAGCAGTGGATAAATTTACGTTGCTTGCTAATCTCTGGTGTTATTGTCAGCAGCTATTGTCTTGAAGAAACTTTCTTTTTGTCACAGGCCTATAATATTTGTCAGGGAGGATCTCTCTGGCTTCGGTGTCCTCCAGCAGAACCTCTTAACAGGGCTATAGAAGGGATTACAAATTGCTACGGGTGTTGCAGTGAGTAAAGGTCTTCAGCCCAGCCCCGTGGTCACATGAGTGAACTCAGCCACCAATGCAACACTGAAGGACCATCAGGCATCTGAGGGGGAATTATATCATGTGGGTAGTGGATCTAGCAGGAGCTGCTGTGTCATCATATCCTGGTTCCGTCATAATCCATGGACCTAACATTTTTTCTTTTTTGGAAAACTTCATTCTCGGGTTGTCTATCAATCCTGTTTTCCCCTCTGCAAAAGCCTTCTTGTGTTGCCTGCTGGTCTTGCCTCACCAAAAAGAGCAACTTTTGCTGCAGATCCTGACAATTCAGACTATAAATTGTGCTGTTGGTGAAGGATGCTTATATTGCTATCTCCACTTTGCCTCTCTCTTTTTTTTTTTTTTTTTTTTTAGCTGAAGCAGTCTACTGAATAGGGCATACACAGTAGCATCAAACAAAATCCCGCAAACAAACAAAGAAAAAAAAACCAAACAAACAAACCAACCTGCCCTGATGATGAATAATGTTCCAAATAAAATCCAGCCACAACTATTTTAGGAAATASAAGATCCCTATCTGTGGTGGGATTTTACCATATGCAGTTTTTCTTTCCCAGATGAAGCAGTATTCTTTCCRTGAGGCTGGCTGGGTGGAATTCTGKCTGGACAARCAGCTACAAARGCAAGTGTAMATCCAGCATTTCCARAGTTCCAATTCATAATAGTAAAAGAAGATCAACTACCAGCAAGGTAAAAATATGGACTGAGGAGCAAGCTACACACAAGATGTGTAATAGGTACCTGGTGAAGTCCTAGGTGTGCTTTTCAGACCACAGTGCTCCAGAGGAGTCAAGAGGATAGTCAAAATTCCTCAGCAGGCTTGCTAGCAAGATCAATGTTAAGATGTGCATATATATATGTATATATATACATGTGTGTATATATATATATATAGATATGCATGTATATGAAAACAACGAAGCAGCCAATAAAAAACCCCTTCATCAGACCCAAAACAGGAAAAGTTGAATTAACCCATAATTTTCATTTTCATAATGATATTATAAAGGTATATTTCCTTAGAGGTTCAGATCATGCCATAACCCTCACATCATTTTGTTATCTTCAGCCTAGAAGGTGAAGGTGAAGCTGATCACAGAGACAGATACCTGAAGCATTTAGCACCTACAGATCTACAGTCTTCAGCATCACCTCTTCAACATCTATCATAAAACACTTCAGCCTTGTTTTTATAATGTGATGGAATTCATTYCTTTGAGTCAGACCACACAAAACCTCTGCTCACTGAAATACGTATTTAAAAGTTGAAATAACCAAAAGAGAGAGACATATTCCTGAGAGCATCCGAGTTGTAAGCACCTGTCTAATGGAGGAAGATGATGGTAAGATTTTAATACAATATGTCTATGTTCTCTCAGAAATTGTAATTTCTGAGAGAATTTCTATTGTTCTCTCAGAAACTCAAATATAGCCCTAA